GTCTGCAGAACAGAGACACCCGCTGAGCTGCACCCCCGGCCGGCCCAGAGCAGAACCCCACACCCAGCTCCGACCCCTCCGTCCAGCCAGCGGGGGTCAGAGCCCGGCACAGCCACCCCTCGCCCGCCCCACAGCATGGACCAGGGTCATTAGCCCCATGTTACAGAGAGGAAAACTGAGGCACAGAGATGGCAGCAGAGTCTAGGGGGTTATGGCGGGGCAGGGGGGCTGGGAGTCAGGATCCCTGGGTTTTCACCCTGGCTCTGGGAGGGGAGGAGGGTCTAGTGGTTAGAGCAGGGGGCTGGGGGCCAGGAGTGGATGGGGATTCCCCACAGGTCACTGGCTGGGAAGGTCTGATGGAGAAATGAAGGGGGGACACACAAAGCCCGAGGCCTGGGGGGGGAGAATGGGGGGCCCCATAGAGGGAGACTATGAACTAGAGGGGGAGGGGAGGGTGGCCCCCAGGGAGCTGGTGGGGAGGGAGGCAAGAAGCTCAGCTGACACCAGCTACCTCTGGGGCCTTCTCCTTAGTCCCGCCCAGCAGCAGCTGTAAATCAGACCCTGCCCCGTATGGGTGGAGCTCCCACAAGTCCCGTCCCTCACCAGGTGTCCTGCCCCCCCCTTGGTACCCCCTTGGGTGCATTACTTACAGATAGGGTCTTGCTGAGCCGGGGCCTCCAACACCCCCAAGGGGCTGGTGCTAAAAGAGAAAAAAATCCACTTGTAAATGTCATATCCCCCCACCCGGCAGAAAATTACCCAACACACCCAGAGATCCCCCAATCCTGCCTCACACTGAATCCTGTTCCCTAACCCCCCCCGCCACACCCACTAGACCCCACCCCCCTGCCAGAGCTGGGGACAGAACCCAGGCAGAGGTGACACATGTGTGGGGGGAAAGCAGGGTCACATGACCCCCCCCGCCCCCCGACAGCTCAGTCACATGGTGCAGCCCGGCCCCCTTCCTGCGGAGCAGCTGAGCTGGGGAGCTGAGCTGGACAGGGAGAGGCAGAGGCAGGAGCGGAGGAACAGCTGGGAGCTGCGGGTGGGGGGGGTCACGGCTTTCCGGGCAGGGGGGGGGCGTGATGTTCTGGGGTTGTGCCCCTCCACTGTCAGCAGGCCCAGGTCATCTCTGAGGAGTCCTGGCCCCCAACCCCACTTCCACCCCAGAGCCGGGGACAGAACCCAGGAGCCCTGTGACCCCGTCAGGTCGATCGGGAGGGTGGAGGAGCCGGGTTCCTACCTGCTCGGTCTCAGTGCGGCTCCTTTTCCTGCAGAGGGACACAAACCAGAATCCCCCATGAGTCGATCGGGATCCCCCGGTCCCAGCGCCCGGCCACTCACCCCCATAGGGCAGCAGGGATGGGGGTGCCTGGGGGGGTCCCCTCTGCTGCTGGTGCTGAGCCTGGATCCCTGCTGGGGTGGGCCAGACCGGCAGGGGGCAGCACAACACCAAGCATGCGCTGTGGGGAGGGGCAGATTAACTTGGGGGCTTTTCCTGTCCCCAGTCCTCCCTCGTTAGTGACTCATTATAATGAACCTGATCCATAGGTCGGCTCCGCTGGCACCACAGGTACCTGAGAGGCAGGGTGCCCACAGCTCATTATACAGGGACCCCTTGCTCAGTGCTGAGATGCGGCCACAGATGGTGCAGGTGGGGCAGGGTGACTAGTTATATGGGGACCCCTCATCTGGCCCTGAGATGTGGCCCCTCTGGGGTGGGACAGGTGCGTGTGTACAGGGATTACACATGCCACAGCGCCCTCTGCTGTGCCCCCACCCCACTCCTTGGCTTCCCCATCCCAGACGTGACCCCAACCCGCCCTGCTTAGCGGCAGGTTTAACCCTTCCCTCGCTGGGCGGGGCACTCACTGGCTCGGGTTTTTCTGAAGCAGACGAAGGCCACGAGGAGGAGGAGGAGGGCAGCAGCTGCCGCACTTCCTCCAGCGATGATGGGGCTGGTCAGACCCGGAGGTGCCGGCAATTCCGATCCGCCTGGGAAACAGCAGCAGCCGTGAGTGCCGGGGGCGTCTGATCTGTTCCCCTCCCCCAGCCCCTCCCACCCCAGGCGGCGCCCAAGGGGCTGGGGCACCTCAGGGTGCAGGGAGCAGAAAATTCTATGGGGAGGATGTTGGGGGCCCAGGGCATCAAGTGGGGTCAGAGCCAGTAACATTTGGGGAATTTATAGCACGAGGGGACGCTGGGCTGCAGGGCAGGGAGCTCAGTAGGGGGCGCTCTCCCCATCAATCAGGGCTGGCCTTATTGCCCCAGCACAGCACTAGGGGGCGCTGTCTGATCCAGCCTGGACGTTATTTCACCCCCTTCCTCGTGGCCACACCAGCTCAGGCCAACGGGCCCATCTAGCCTGGTATCCCGCCTCCCATGCTGGCTGCTCCTGGCTACTTCGCAGGGAGCTCTGGCGGGTTCATGTCAGAGCAGGAGGCTTCTGTCTCCTCCCAAATCCGTTGGTGGGGGGAGTCACTGCCCCTGAGAACAGCCTCCGTCCCTCCCCCTGGCCAACCACTGGAGAGAAGCTGCCACATAATCTGTGACTCAATAGATTCCCCCGGTACCTGGTCCCGTGCTGCCCGGGCGGGTGGGAGCCGGCGCCACTCCAGGCTGGGTCGGGTCGGTTCCCATTTCGGGAATAGAACCAGCATCTGTTGGGGCAGGGGGAGGGGTTGAAACACTGACTCAGAGATCACCCCACCCTCCGTGACCACTGGTGGATTAGCCTCTGGGCTCAGGGACCTGGCCCAGCGGGGGCCCCGGAGAACACCCAGCACCCAGACCCTGGTTCCCACAGAAGCAGTGGGGGGAGTGGGGGAGGCAGGGGAAGCTTTAGCACCGGGACCTCCGCTGCGGCCCCAGGACGGGAGGAGCTCTCGCTACGTGCTGTGGCCTCAGGGCCGGGGGAGCTCTCACTCCCCGCTGCGCCCTGGGGCCGAAGCGAGGGGACAGAGCTTCTCCGGTCTGGGACTCAGTGTGTGGGGGAGCAGAAAGTAGAAAATGGGTTGTGGAGCTCCTGTGGGGGGACGGACTGGGGCGGGGCCATTGGTGGAATAGGGGCGGGGCCCCAGGGAAGGGGCAGAAAGGGGTGGGGACATGTGCGGGGCTGCAGGCCGAGGAGGCGGAACAGCAGTGGGACCGCAGGTGAAAGCGGGGGAGGGATCCCCCTTGCTCTGGCCTAGGGTCCCAGGAAACCTTAATCCACCTCAGCCCGTGACTCAGCATCGATCGTTACTGTCAGACCTGGGGAGGGGGGTTTGTGGCTGGGGCGGTGCTGGCTGGGCAGCCCCTGGGCCCTGACTCCTCTGTGAGGAGTGGCCACTGCTCTGCAGCGCCCTCTGGTGGAAGGGATCCCCCCTCCCTCGGCCCTGAACCTCCAGGAGCTGCTGCTCCCCCTGGCTGGGTAACCCCCCAGTGACACTGTCCCCGCCCCTATCCAGGCCAGTCCTAGGGCTCTGGGCAGAGCCTGGCTCTGAGCATCCCGTCAGGTGCCGACCTTCTGAGGGTCCAGGTGAGTCCCCGGTGATGATGGGGCTGGCCAGCCCCGGAAGTGCCGGCGATTCCGATCCACCTGGGAAACAGCAGCAGCCGTGAGTGTCGGGAGCGGTTGGTCTGTTCCCCCCCAGCCCCTCCCACCCCAGGCGGCGCCCAAGGGGCTGGGACACCGCAGAGCACAGGCATCAGAAAATTCTATGGGGAGGATGTTGGGGGCCCAGGGCATCAAGTGGGGTCAGAGCCAGCAAGATTTGGGGGATTTGTAGCACGAGGGCGCGCTAGGCTGCAGGGCAGGGAGCTCAGTAGGGGGCGCTCTCCCTATCAGTGAGGCCTGGCCTTATTGCCCCAGCACGGCACTAGGGGGCGCTGCCTGATCCAGCCTGGCCATCATTTCTAAGGCATTTCACCCCCTTCCTCATGGCCACACTGGCTGAGGCCAATGGGCCCATCTAGCTCGGTATCCCGCCTCCCATGCTGGCTGCTCCTGGCTGCTTCGCAGGGAGCTCCAGCCCCCCCCCCCCCACCCATGGCCACTGATGGGCCCAGCTGCCCCCAGAGGAAGCCTCCGGCTGCCCCGTTAGCAGCGGGTTTGTGTCTGAACAGGAGGCTTCGCTCCCCTCCCAAATCAGTCACTGCCCCTGAGAACATCTCCATCCCTCCCCCTGGGCAACCACAGGGGAAACTGCCCCATAATCTGTGATTTAATAGATTCCCCCCGGCCCCAGTACCTGGCCCCGCGCTGCCCGGGCGGGTGGGAGCCGGCGCCGCTCCAGGCTGGGTTGGGTCAGTTCCCTCTGCGGGAATAGAACCAGAGTCTGTCAGAGTGGGGGGAGGGGCTGAAACACTGACTCAGAGATCCCCCCGCTACCCCCCGTGACCAGTGGTGGATCAGCCATTCGGCCTATAGGGCCCGTGCCCAGGGACCCCAGCCAAGTGGGGGCCCTAGAGCTCTGGCCACCGGGTGAGCAGGATGGGAGAAGCCCCAGCACCCCGACCCTGGTCCGCAGAAGCACGGAGAGGGGCAGGGGAACCCTTAGCACTGGGATCTTTGCTCTGAGCATCCCATCAGGGTGCTGACCTTCTGAGGGTGGGGCTGGGAGCGGGGACACCGAGCTGGGCCCCTCACCTGCTACCACCAGCTCCACGGTGTCGCTGGGCTGCGAGGAGACGAAGGGCTCCGATCGGGGCCGGTAGCTGCAGCTGTAGCTCCCTCCATGCTGCCGGCTCACGCTGGGGATGCGGAACTCGGCCCTGGCCCCAGCAGGGTCCATGTGTCGCTGGGGGTTCAGGTCTCCAGTCTTGTGCAGGAAGAACCTCGTGTCCCGGCGCTGCCCCTGACACTGGATGGTGACGTCTGCCCCTGGGGCGGTGACCCCAGTGGGGCTCAGAGAGATGGAGGGTCTGGGTAAGCTGGGATCTGCGCACAGGAGACAGGCTGTGAGAGCCAGACCAAGGCACCCGCCCAGCCCCGGCCTCCAGCTGCAGAAGAGAAGAGGGAGGGGGGATTTGATAGCAGCCTTCAACTACCTGAAGGAGGGCTCCAAAGAGGATGGAGCTCGGCTGTTCTCATGGGCGGCAGATGACAGAACAAGGAGCAATGGTTTCAAGTTGCAGTGGGGGAGGTTTAAGTTGGATATTATGGAAAACTATTTCACTAGGAGGGTGGTGAAGCACTGGAATGGGCTCCCTAGGGAGGTGGTGGAATCTCCATCCTCATCTTCTATGATTCCCCGGCCGTTCCCAGGCACGGGCAGATCCAGTGGCCCCCTGGCAGAGATTCTCTCCCAGATCCCAGAATCCTGGCCCTGCGAGCTGGGCTTCCAGCCCCACAGACACGGGGCCACGGCTGCCTTGTTCTTGGGGTCCTCATATGCCATGTGTGGCCCCTGCCTCATTCACTGCGTCCGGGCCCCCCAGCACAGAGTGACTCACGGGCTGGTGTCTGGCACCTGGCATGGCAGGGTCTGAGCCCCACAGAGGAAAGGAGTCATCCCCCCGGGAGGCAGTGAGACAACTTTATCCCCATTCTACAGGGGGGGAAACTGAGGCACAGACAGATTCACTTTCCTTAGTGAGCTCCCAGGGGCAGGGACTGTCTCTTCACTCTGTGTTTATGCAGCGCTATTGAGGCCAGTTTTGGCAGAGGTCTCCAATATCTGTGGGCATCTTTGTTTGTGGGCTCTCGGCCTGAGATCCCCCAAGTTTGAGCCCTCCCCCCCCGCAAGGGAGGACACTTTTGAAAACCGCGACATGCTCCCATCACACAGAGTCTGTGGCTGCACCAGGAGCTGGGCCAGATCTCCGGGGTCCCAGCCCAGTGCAGTGTCCACTAAGCAACTGCTCCTCCTGCAGCCCCTGCCTCATTCAGCCCAGGCCAGGGCCCTGCCTGGGGCACGGCCTGGAGCACAGAGGGGATGGGATCACGGGATTAAATAGCGACTCATGGTTTCTACACACAAGGGGCAGCGTTAAAGTCACCTCCCTGCCCTGAGTGTCCAGGGACTGCTGCTCCCCCCTGGCTGGGGAACCCCCCAGTGACTCTGTCCCCGCTCCCCGGTCGGGTGTCCCCTCTGCTGGGTCAGGGCTCAGGGCAGAGCCTGGCTCTGAGCATCCCATTGTCTCCAAGCCCCGGTGAGGGTCTGGCTGGGGGGGGTGGGGCTGGGAACGGGGACGCCAAGGCGGGCCCCTCACCTCTCACCACCAGCTCCACGGGGTCGCTGGGGTACGACACGGCGAACGGCTCCGATTTGCTGTGATAGGAGCAGCTGTAGCTCCCGCCAAGATCCCGGTGAACGTTGCTGCTGGAGAACACAGCCTCAAACCCGTCCGAATCCACAGGTGGGAAATGGCGTCCCTCTTTATTCAGCACAAATCGCACGTCCTGGTGCTGCCCCCAACACCGGACGACCACAGTTCCCCCCAGGCTCACGGAGATGTTGGGTTTGGGGTAGCTGGGCTCTGCAGTGGGAAGCAGACAGGCCGTGAGACGCAGGCCCCGTCACTCAGTCCTGGGGCCCATCCTCACTACGCGGCCTCAGTGGTCGGTTAGACCCGGCGGTCCTGGGGACGGGCTCCTGGACCCCTTTCCACAGGGTCCAGAGTTTCCTCTGAGCCCTGGGCTAACAGCATGAGACACGGAGCAACCCCAGCCCCTGGGGGCCCAGAGCTCTGCTCCTTAGCGGGTGACAGGACAGTCCAGTCTCCAGGGTCCATTCAGTCCCTGGCTTCTCTGCTGGGAGGGCTGGGAGCCAGGACTCCTGGGTTCTGTCCCCGGCTCTGGGAGGGGAGTGGGGTCTAGTGGGTGAGAACAGGGGGGATGGGGGCCAGGACTCCTGGGTTCTGTGCACAGCACCACCACTGACTTGTAAGGGACTGTGCAAGTCTCTACTATACACTGAGGTTTATAACCTTCAGCTCCACCCATCACCCCCTAACTGATGTGTTCTCTGGGAAAGCCTCCCCTGCTCTGCAGCTCCCTCTGGTGGCAGGGATTCCCCCTTCCTCTGCCCCAGATCTCCAGAGTGGGGACTCTGAGCTGGGTCCCTCCCTCACCTCCCACAATGATCTCGACGGGGTTGCTGTGATGTGATGAGTGACTCTGATCCACTATGGAGCGATAGTCGCAGGTGTAGCTCCCTCCATCTTCCTGGCCAACACTGGTGATGGGAAATTCAGCCACGGTCCCATTAGGCACCGTCCGCACCTGCTGGTTCGGGTGTCCAGCTTTACGCAGAAAGAACTCCATGGATCGTTGCCGACCCTCACAGCGGATGGTGACATTTCCCCCGAGGGCCACCACCCTGCTGGGGCTCACCCAGATGGTGGGTTTGAGAAATTTACTCCCTGCTTTCAACAAGACAGGAGTTAAACAGGAGAGATACACACACCCCTGCCTCCCTCCCCCCAGTTCAGTCCATCCGTCATTCGGCCTCTCTGGGAGTCTGTCCCCTACCAGGGTTGGCACTGCTGCCCATGGGGCTCGGGGGCAGGGGCTTCACCCACATGTAGCTCAGGACCCAGCTGCATGTGAGATCACCTGCCGCCCCCCCCCCAGCCCCACCTGAGGCCAGCCAGGGAACCTGACCAGTGGGCCCCCTGCAGCCCTGCCCCCCCGAACCGGATTTGGGAATAGAGTCTGTGACTGGCGGGAGTCGTGCAAGACCCAGCTTTCCCCAGGCCTTGGGAATGGGGGGCTGTGAGTGCAGGGGAGGGAGCTGTTGGGGGCGGATCTGGGGGGGTTCTCCTAGGGTTACCATATTTCCATAATCAAAAAAGAGTACACTGAGGGGGGAGGAGCCCCACTCTAGCCCCGCCCCTTCCCTGCCCCACCCCCATCCACTCCCTCCCCCTTCCCACCCCCTGACTGCCCCCCTCAGAACCCCCAAACCCCCCTACTCCTTGTCCCCTGACTGCCCCCTCCTGGGACCCCTGCCACTAACTGCCCCTAGGACTCTACCCGTCCCCTGACTGCCCCGACCCTTATCCACACCCCAACCCCATATTCACACCCCCGCCCCCAGACAGACCCCTGGGACTCCCATGCCCTATCCAACTGCTCCCCACCCTCTGACAGGACCCCCAGAACTCTCGACCCATCCAACCCCCTCTGCTCCCTGCCTCCCTCGACCTCTTTCCACACTCCTGCCACATATCCACACCCCCTCCCCCAGACAGACCCCCGGGACTCCCACGTCCTATCCAACTGCTCCCCACCCCCTGACAGGATCCCCAGAACTCCCGACCCATCCAACCCCCTCTGCTCCCTGCCTGCCTTGACCCCTCTCCACACCCCTGCCCCATATCCACACCCCCTCCCCCAGACAGACCCCCGGGACTCCCACACCCTATCCAACTGCTCCCCACCCCTTGACAGGACCCCCAGAACTCCCAACCCATCCAACCCCCTCTGCTCCCTGCCTGCCTTGACCCCTCTCCAC